GATATTATAGTAATTTAGTGGTTCGATTCACGAGTCAATTGAAGCTAGATCACTATGGAAAACATGAAAGCACTGAACGACCGCTTCGTTCTGGCATGAGACTTCTCAACACTGCACATTCACGACTTCTCCCAGCGGGACTCGAACCCAGTACTTGTCGTTCTCATGCATGAACGATTAACCTCTAGACCATTGGACTGGTATCCAAATATTTGATGTCATTTTTAACTATATGATAAAGTTTTATGAAAATGGTTGAATGCAATCGATTGATGAAACGGTTGTGATGAATATCATTTTTGTTTGGTCTTTTTCAGTACTGATCGAATTCTACCGATCAATTTGCAAAGTGGCCATTAGTTTAAATGATTAGATATTGGATAAATTATATTGAGATATTAAATGGTTGGAAGTAATCAACAAAAACCTGTGGACCTAGATTTCATACTGTTTGTTGCTCATTAGCAGGGTATGCCACCAATATTGAAGGGACAAATGTTCCTTATTGGAATAAAACCCATATCTTCAAGAGTTTCTTGTCGAATACCTTCAACTACCTGGAAAGTCTAGTACACACAATTTTCTCGACAAAATCAAAGTCAAATAATTTTAACAACCAAAAAATAGGAAAAATGATGCAAAGTTAGTTATTTTTTAAATGTAATCTGTTATTTGCAATGAGAAATGTGTTTTAAACAAATATAACTTGGTGTGAGTGAAAAGTAACTGTCCAAAAAAAAAGTTTTTAGAATAACTCTACCTTAGTTAGAATCGATTTCATATCCAAGTCGAGTAAATGTTACTGAAACGAACAAATGGTTTTTTGTGTAATATCATGCAGCTGAGAAAAGCGAAAAAGATATAAATTGTATGGCAGACATAATCAATCAGACGATACGTTATTTGCTTGTAAACTATATGTGATTTCAATGTTTGCATAGTTAAGGAAAACTCTAGGTCTTTTTTGAAGAAAAAAATGTAACTAGTTCCTTGAAACATTAAACTTTTTTCCAAAAAAACTCATTTGATTTGTAAGTACAATACTAATTTAAGCAGTTTTTTATTATCTCTATACTTTTTCTAGTAAAACGGCATTAATTCGTAGTGCTGTGCTTTCCTCAGGACACACATTGAGGAAAGCACCGAACTGCGTCACAAGACAAGCCCTCACATGGAATCCTGAAGGTCAAAGGAAAAGAGGAAGACCAAAGAACACAATACGCCGAGAAATGGAGATAGACATGAGAAAAATGAACAAGAATTGGATGGAACTAGAAAAGAAGGCCCAGGACAGAGTGGGTTGGAGAATGCTGGTCGGCCGCCTATGCTCCATTGGGAGTAACAGGAGTAAGTAAGTAAGTAAGTTGTGAGATCACGTTGAAATGCAAAGCCAGAACTATGTAATTTCAAAATGTTTGACTTAGTTCTAAAAACAGTATATGTGCTTATTCGATAAGTTGGTTTCCTGTAACAAATCAGAATCTATCATTTACAGCATCATGACCATCTTAGTTTCTTAATTAAATAGGACTAATATACCACTATTGAACGATTCCAAGTTTTTTTTTAAAAATATCAGAGATATTAATAGATTTATGATCTAATACATCCCGAGTGTGATTCAATCCAAGTTTTAAATATTAGAAATGGCTAGATATGAAAATTTTTATGCATTTTCTGAGAAGATTGGTGGGAACATTATTCATCTTCTGTAACATAAACTGATATGTAGTTAAAAACTGATTTATATACTGCGTAAAGTTTGAAATTACGTACAAATAACTTCATCATGTCGAAAGAAAGTTTGATCAACGAAGGATGCTCTTCATTTATAGGATATGACGGTATGGAATGAGAAAAGGTTAATAAAAAAGAGTACATCGTTATGGTTGTGTGCAATCTATTCTTAGAGTGATCTCTAGTGCAGCTTTTGGGGAGTCAATGTTAATTGTTCAGGTTTATAATAGTTCTACTCCGAGCAGTGATCTGTGGGCATAACCACGTAGGTAGTAGTTACCTAATGTTGATCTTCGATGATGTTCACCTTATGTTACCGGTTTCCTGAGGTTAAACAGTATAGATCACTGAGTACTGGCTTTGTAGTTGGGATGGCGGCATAACGCTTGTTGTGGGATATTTAACTATACATTCGGTCCTGGTTTCGGTTTATGAAAGTGTCAAGCCCAAAAAGCTATTTAGTGTCTCAGTAACCCCAAATGAATGTCATTTTTTGATGAAATTTATCTTCAAAATCTTATTTCCAGAAAAAATTATAATTTCTAATATAGATGAGTAAAGAACTAAACGTACAAAGTATTATAAACGAATACAATAACAGAATATATTCTTTTTGGGAATATTTATTAGTCTGCTGCAATTCATGTGATCCTAAACCAGTTAAGTATAAAACAAACGATGGTTTATCATGAGTTTATCATCATCCTAGGACAGATGTATTGCAAGTTATCAAATGAAAAGAATCTCATCAAATAAATGGATTATTAGAAATGGTTAACTTTTTATGACTCTGGGTAGAAATCACATTTCCGCATTCATGTTTTCGTGAATGTATTCCCTTGATATGAAAGAAATAAAGTTATGTATTAGTATACTAGTTGTCACACTGTTACTTAAATCAGGTTACGTTATTATCGTTGTAAAAATCCGAACTAGAACACTTTCTAGTCTAAATAAACGTTTTATATTGTACGACCCTATTCTATATCCAGATTACTTGTAAGATAATACTTGATTTCAATTATTTTCTTTTCAGAAATTTTGTAATGAGCAACTGTATAAGGGACACAAGTTTTAGAAGTATTTAATTCAAATTATTTTTTCCCAACAGTTACATCAAACAGACTACTTATTTCTTTAATTGTGTTACATTTGTCATCATGTTTCTAATTGTATTACTGCCTATTATCTTGGTATCATCAGAATGTTGTACATTGTTTTTGTTTTTATCTTTCCATATATATATATGCAAAGTTATGTACAAATATCTTTACAGAAAAATGTACAGATAATATCACAGACAATATTTAAAACAATCATTTATACTACTTAATTGTTTTTTTCCATTCACTATGAAGATAATATTCATGAGAAAATCCTGCTGAGTAAAATTGTTCACTTTAAGTGTTAATTTTTCTAAGATGATTAAAAAAAAAGAAAACACAGCGACATTAAAACATTTTGTACTATAAATACCTATGATATTATATCTGTTGTAAATCAGACAGGAAAAAGAAAATGCATATTTCCACTGACCTGCTGTTTAACATTGTTTATCCCCACAGGGATGATTGATCTACCAATTCATGAACAACTGGTCTACTATCACTGCATGTAAATTGAACACCTGACGATAAGATTAGTAAGATTGGAAAAGAAAAATATGTGTGCCAGTTTTTTTTTCTCATTGGTCTATATTGTCGACTTTATTGGTTAGTATTACTGTATATGATAATACTTTCCAATTTTCACAATAATCAAGTATAGAGAAACATGTAGAACTTTTATATAATATTCAAAACAATTTTTCTTTCTAGTATTCTATACTTTCTTAACATTGTGAAATTGGCAAGAATTTATATAACTAAAAGATTTTTTTCACTAAACACATAATTATTTAATATCATATGGGTTTTGTGGATAATATGGTAATTTCAATGGTTAAGATCCACTCATGATCTTAACCATTGAAATTACCATATTATCCGCAAAAACCCTTCTGATAATAATCAACATATGCTCACTAGTGAATGCCTCCAAGAAGTATTTCCTGGAGTTCTAGTGAGAAGCAGTGACCAGTGGGGTTTAACCGTGTCTGTTATGAGATAGTAACCCATTGATGACATTGATGAATGTGTCGCTCAAGTTAGAAATTAACACAGTTGAATGCCAGTCAGTTCAGTGGTCTAGTGGGTAAGCGCTCGCGTGCGAGACTGGTAAATCCTGGGTTCCAATCTAGTGATGCGGGACCGTGGATGCACACTGCTGAGGAGTCTCATACTAGGCTGAAACGGCCGTCCAGCGCTTCTAAGTTTTCGACGATGGTCCAGCTTCAATTCACTCATGATCACAACCATTGAAGTTACTATCATATCCACAAGAACCCTTCTGATATAAATCTTATATTCACTATGATTTTCGGACTCTTGTCAAATAACAATTTCATTAATTTATATACAACAAACCTTTGTTTCTAATCATGTTACTGTTTTCTTTTTTATCTTCAAGCTGTTTATGGTTACTGAAAAGCCTCAAACTAGAATGAATTCACTTAGATTGATAAATCTGTTTATCCTTACTTTATTTAAGATTCATTTCATTGTCAATATGTAATTACATTCAACTGACTTCAATCATTTTTAATGACTAGATAAAGTATAATATTGTGTTCAATGATTTTCTAAAATAGTAAGTTAGATATGTATACATATATTAGTAAATAATCAAGGCTGTATAAGTACAATAATTAGATTTTTATTCAGAAATATCTTGTCATTTACATCACAGCTTATAGCCAATATCACAACAAAAACACAATAAAAACTACACTTTACAATAAATGGTAAAAGTTAAAAGAAAGAGAGCTACCTAAAAAAAAATTTTGATTCAACCATACATACATACTACTATTTGATTGTAATAATAATCAAATTATATGAATGATAATCAGTGTCTATGCCCATCAAGATAAATGTACGTGTGTGTGTGTGTGTCTGTGTATGTGTATAAATGTGTAAAACTGGTATTTACAAAAACTTCGTTTAGTGTTTTTTCTTATCTTTTCACCTCATTCTTATGTTTATCATGAAAATTAATTGTAAATCACTTAGATAATACTTCACTAAAGAACTATGTACAATCAGTAATGTAAATTTAGAAGAACCAAACATAATGTATAACTGTATTTATCTAGTTCAATTCAATTAACTGAAGAAGTTATCATTATATTGCTAATATGGAAATCCATTTTTAATCATTCATTTTTATACTAAATTCGGTCTACATATAATTTCATCAAAGACTGGCGGAGGTAAATTTCTAAAATTTATTCCCATTGAATTATAAACTGGTCGATTTGTTAACGGATTAGGTTGACATGTTGAATTATATGATTTCATATTATTATTATTACTTTCAAGAAAATTAGATAAATGAAAATCTCTAGGATCAGATAATGAAAATATTGATCCATTTGGTGAACAATTTTGATTCGTGCTATTATAAAGTGGGAATTTTACTAATTGTTGTGAAGACATTGATGATGTTGACGATGAAGATGATGAAGGAAAATAAGATGGAGTATATAATAAATCTGATTTTGTTTCTGCCCGAAATCCACTTGAACCAGATAAATTTGTTGGATTATACGGAAGACAATTGAGTGAATTTGATGGAAAATTTTGTGTTAAATGAGATGGATTAGGACTGAAATGTGGTGTATTGTCATTATGAAAAGATCCTGTATCACTGTTCAATAAGTGAGCTGCTGTACCTGAGATCACTGAGTCGTTTGAAGGAAGTGGATGTGCTTGTGATAGAGGGTAAATTCCTGTCAGACTAGGAATTGCACCAGACAAATTAAAAGGAACACCTGATGCGATTGCAGTAGCTGAAGCAATAGCATTGTAAATATCCTTTAAAAATAGAAAAAGATGGAATATTAAGGGCATTACGTAATTCTGTAAGATCCGAAAAAATCGATGAATTCACCTTTCAGTTGTCGAGATCATGAGTTAATTGAAACTAGACCACTATGGAAAACCTGGAAGCACTGGATGGCCGTCAAGGCCTAGTATGCGACTTCTTGGCAGTGCGCATGCACTATCCCGCCTCGCGGGATCCAAGCTCAGGATCTATCAGCCTCGTGAGCGCTTACCCATTAGATCACTAAGCTGACCGGCATCCAACAGCGTTAATGTCTGACTTCAACTAGTCCACGAAATCGAGCGACACATCCACCACTGTCTTCAGTGAGTTACTATCTCACAACAGACACGGTTGAACTCCACTGGTCACTGCTTCCCACTAGAACTCCAGGATATACATCTTGAAGCCAGTCACTAGTGAACATATGCTGTTGCTAACAAGTAACAGCTCTATACCTACAAAAATTATGACTATTACGGTGTATATTCCTCCATTCAAGTTGTGTTTAAGAATGATTCTGTCACTGGCTATATATTTCGCATCTATCTGATGCTTAACAGTAATTAAAAGCTGTCACAAATCTTTAGTCAAAATGATTTGCAAATCACATCTATCCAATTAATTTATTCATATTTCTTAATGTTGTCACTCTTTTGTATCAGCTTATCATGCCCATAAATTGTCTAACATTCTCTAATCGTTTTCGGAAGATAGCATTATAAAATTCTAAGTATACGCCCTTATATTCTCCGTTAAATATGTCCTACAAATTTTAATTCAAATTTAGTGAAATAAAAATTTTTTATATTGCTTTTTGCTTATACCATAGTTACAACAGTAAAAAATAATGACTAAATAAATAATACTTACGGGACTAGGTCCTACTAGATATTCATGGTAAGCAGAATTGGTTATCATATCACCTGGACCTCCTGAGTTCAGCTCATTGGATAATATCCCTGATCTTATACCACGTAATCTCCTTGGATTTCTGTAGAATGATCGACGTGCACCAAGGGCATTCAACTGTTTCATACGTCGTTCTTTACTACGACGATTCTGAAACCAAACCTACAAAATAAAATTTTTAATGTCATTACAATATTCACAGATGGCCATTTCTGTTTTTGTAATAAGAATTAGCCTAGAAATAATAGCTAAATTTAATTGATTTCATCGTAAATATTTAAATATTTTTGAGTATTTTGTAGTACATCACTTACTCATGAAACAGTGATTTAATGAATAAACCAAATGACATTAGACCTCTTCATGTACTTTGATAGGAAATGTTAACATTAGTCTTCACACATAAAGTATAAATCATTACTAAGTAAACAGATTGATAAATTTATCACTGAGTTTTTTCAGAAAATACTTTAGGATGAACATAGCTGAGAAAATGAAATTTACTGTGAGCTTAAATTTACTGGATAAACTACTTCAATCAGCGAGCAATCAACAATCGTCTTGGACTTGTTTGAGATTTTTCTATAGTATATACCCTCAAATTTACACAGAACTGATTTCAACACATTCAAGTATAATTTCACGAGTAATACACTTATACTTTTTGATTAGAAATCAGTAAATGAGGATCGTACAATATCATAAATTGTTTAACATCAGAAGTACAAGCCATAAGACTTCAACTTAGTGGTCTGAAAGTATCATACTCATAAAAAGATTTAGGCTTAATTTCATGTTAAGTCAGAAATATGTACTGTTAACGAGTTCAAGATTCTAAGTAACCGTCCGACACATCCAGGCTTCTTTTTATCTAATATTAGTTAGTTTTGACAATAAATTAACATCTTGGCAAGTTGTGTACTTGTTGTAAGGATCTATGGAAACTCACTAATCAACTTATCACAATATTACAAACCACTTTATGATAACTTCGAATTAAGTTCTTCACATACAATCGAACATCAGTTACTTCTCTATATTTGACACCAATTCACTTGTTTTGAATGCTATGAAAAATATACATATTCTTTACGAGTTATGAAAACTACAATAAGAATTCTATTGTCGTGTGTGCTACTTATATTGACATAAGTAGTATGTAACATGAGTCAGGAATATAATGTCTGACAGTAAAAGATTGAGAAGATCGAGAAGTAAAGAACAAGAATAGAAAGCGATTGGTAAAAAAATACAGAAACAGTCAGGTTTGAGACAATTGATTGATATTTTGCAAACTAAGTATTTACTCTATAGTTCTCAGATTCTACTATGATATGCTGTAATTTTATGTTCAAATATATGTTCAATTGTCCCTACTTATGTTCTTGTTCACTACACTACTATTTAAACCCCTATTTTGTAAAACATTTCTAAAAAAACCAAATCATATACCATGGAATTATTGAATAAAACATGAAGAAGTCACTATAATATAAAAAAATATATTCCATATTTTATATTATCAGACATAATTAATCAATCAGATATGAGACAACTATTGTAATTATAATTAATAACAAGTTCCAAAAAAGAATAGTGTTCTATTGTAATATTGAATTAAATTAAGTTTCCAAGTATTCTAGTAACCAGATCATATGACAAAGAAAATTTTGTCTTAGCTTTTCTATAATAAATCTTATTTCATGTTTATTATTCCCAAGGAAAATCATGTCACATGTTGTTGGGTTTTTTGTTTTGTTTTAAAACTACAATGATAGTTATCTTTTTAAAAAATGATTATCCAACAGTCAAGATATTAGTTACCTCCCTTTATTTCTTAATAGACTAATTAGTTTCACAATCAGTCAACATAGAATAATCAGTATAGTTTGAAGTAATTCTCACAGTCAAAATAAATATCATACTTTATACCTTTAATAAGCAGCAGCAACAACAACAACAACAACAAAAATCACCCCTACATGATCTATATGAAAGATATGGTTCTAATTTCATTTACACCTTCACATATTAAATCAATATGACAATGTACAATTTTGACAGTTTATTGTTTTACATTACATCTAATAATTATTATTATTGCATAAATAATTATTTCTCACTAAATTGTATGTTTATTTAATAAAATCTTTATTGAAGATATACTCTCTTCCATTTATTTTTCGTAATTGTAGACATAGGTAAGTCGAATGAATTTTTTCTTTTATTGTTAGACATAATGAATTATATCTAATGTCTATGACAATTTTAATAACAGATTAGTAGACTTATGATTTTCATCTTTGTCTTTAATAATAACAACAACAAAATTGTAATTATTTTATGAAAAGAAAGGAGAGTCTACGTCTAATTCAATGAACATATTTTGAGAAGTTTAAAATTAAATAGATTAAAAGCATTCAGACATCTCCTTGAAACAGGACATAAAGTCATTATACTGAAGTTCGTCAAAGTGATTAACAAACAATCAAATTCCAACCTTTTAAAATTTGCTGAAATGATAGCAATTAAACGTTTAAAATCAGATCTATATATCCAAAAAAGAGATGGTAATAAATCCTTCTTTGCCATGGTAACATTAACCCCCCCTTTTTTATTTATTTATTGCGTCATTCATTATTTCAATTCTTTCGTAAGTTTTAGTTTAAATTACATAATTGTCATTTTTCTTCAATTCATATCTTTATTACCATTCATCTGTTCTCAGTTGCTTCATTACAAAATCATCTGATGTTTGTTAACTTCATTAGTTTTAATCACTAATTCAATGTTCTGGAACTTTCCCTCCCAAACTTTATTTATCCGGAACAAAATTTTGATGACCTTATTAACTCTATTCATCTCTAATCACCCTCGTGTTTATAAGTATGTCAATATTTGTAATAACGTTGATTTTAAAAATATTATAGGTTGTAAACAGCGGATGAGAGCCTAACGAAATAAGATGACTTCATATTATTCTGCATCAATTTTCGTTCTTGTTCTCTTTAAAATTAAAATTACTGAATGGAGAACTATTGGAAACATAAGATGTTGTTTTCTAAGAATAAGTTGTATTAAATATGGGTTGTATGGTTTAGGGATGTAAAATTTACAAACTAGTACAATGTTTATGAGGAAATTCTTGTATATTTTGAATGTGATTTTGGTTATAAATTGATATCGGATGGCGAATCAATCAAAATGAGAGAGAGAGAGAGGAATTTACAATCATTTTTCCTTACTCAAGTACTCGTTAGCAGTATATGTATATACATGCGCAAGGACGGGATGAAACTTTAAATCACTAGGTCAGTAGTTAAGTAATGATATACCTAAACCGTTGGGTCAATATTAGGTACCTGTGAAGACTATTAAATCAATATTAATTTAATAGCTCATCGATTTCATCAGATGAAAATCATGCTATATCACAATTGGAGTATTGAGTCCACACTACAAAATTCAAAATAAGATGTTTAAATAGGATGATGATCAACACAAGACACGAGATTCTTTGGTTTTTTCTCATATTAAGTCGTTAGTGTACAATTCTACAGAGTTTGAAACTAGAATGAAATAACTTCCCAACGCCTCATAGTTTCCATTACTTCTTCACTTGGTCTAAATTAAGTGACTAAAATAGCCATCAAATCGATTGTCTGATTAATGTATAATTTGAAATTTATGTTTATCATATTGATGACAACAAAATAGCCAAGAGAGCTTTTTTGGTATCTAACGTAAATTATAACAACGTCCAAATGGTTCAAATAGTTTTGGACGGAATAGAAGTAGCTTTCGTTTAACGAGCTTCTGTGTAAATGTGAATAGAAATTTAACAGTCGATAAACCTGTAAATTATGTCTGAATTATCTACACTGAATTATGGTTGATTTGGAGTATCTGTACAGTCTCATAAATTTGCAATAAGTATATCACACTTCAAAACAATATGATTGATCAGTTTCTGGTATAATGATCTCATTCATACTTTTTCTGAATCACCTAGTTTATTTTTTATGATAACATTATCCTAACTAAATAAAGTGGAATGACTTTAATCCTAAATATTACTGATTTCATAATATTTCATGGGTTGATTAACTAACTTCGCTACTCATTTATGAGTGGTCAGTACTAAAATCACAACTGTATAAGTATTACTTAAATCAATGTCAACTGTAGATACAATAACAAAGCGTTATCATAAGTGTATAATAATATCTATTCACTAAAGATACTGAGAACAATTTGTTTATTATGTAATAATTTAAATTATGATACACAACTTACTAGCCATATAATTAACAAATACTTTCTTTGTTACGAAAAGTAAAATTTTCATTCCTATTTAAATCGTTTGTGATTGTTTAAGTAACTGTTATTACAATTACATCACAGATTGATCATAGTTAGACAATTACTGAAAACTAGAAAGGATATGACAGCTATTTCTTCCCGACGTAAGACTTCTTAGCTCTATGCATTCCCTACCCTCCCAGTAATCAAAACCTAAACCTACAGATCTTGCGATGGGCACTTAGCCTTTAGACCGGTGAAATGGCGTTCAGTTGTTTATGCATCTTACCTTAATTAAACACACTATAGTAATAGTAATCGTTTGGCTACCAATGCCTAAATTCAGGATGTATTTCGGGAGATCTAGCAAGAGACCGTGACCAGTCAGATTCAATCATTTTCAATTTGAAGTAGCTGCCTATGATTCCGATCATGAGATATTTGAGTAATATTGTCAAGTGAGTGAAGTTAGACATGTAAACTAATGGATACCAAATCGGTGATCCGAAAGTTAGGCACTCGCTGCGAGAATAAAGGTCTTGGTTCAACTTTTGGTGAAGTTCTGAATGTACAATACTAAGTAGTCTCTTACTAAGACAAAGCAGCTGTTCATTCCCTCATGGTTTTCAATGGTTGTCTTAAAAAACCGGTCTGTGATATAAACTATGAAATTTTATAACCTCCATAAATCCTCGTACAGTAACTTGTACTACTTAGTATAAGAGACCTGTTTGAATTAGATACTTAACGAACTAATTTTCATAAATCGTCGTATGGTTAGCATGATTTTATACTGAATTACTTAGAACGTAATGCCAGGATACTATTTTAATTTTATAATTACAGTGGAAGTAGCTTCA